AAAAGAAAACTTATAAAGGTTTAATTAAAATAATGGAGCCCGATGCCAACTGACATTGAAGAAATGCCATCACCAGTAATATATAGACCCGGCTCTTAGAGCTACCTGTTGAGAAAGCACTGAAGAATAATGACAGCTGTTCAGTCAACAAATTTGGGGAGAAACTCAACTGCCCTAAGACTCTTTACATTACACTACCAGTTTTCATGAACAAATTGTTGTTCATATTATAATGTTTACTATAAAAATTATAATATTTTCCTATTGTGAGATAAAATAGTAACACATGATTAATAACCACTTACAAATGAAAACTCAGTGATTCATGGGCTATGATTTCTTCTTCACCTAAGTAAGTCATATTCTCATCCTAGCAAATTATTAAACACATAAAAGCCCCATGTCCTTCGTGCCCTGCATATAATTTGACCTAATGTGAGTGCACATTGATGTACAATGAAGTTTATTTTTCTTTTAACCATTTTTAACAGCATTGATAGAGGCAAAAGTTCAAGAAAGTGGACAGCTTCTACATTGGCTTTGAGCTTGATATTATTTAAAAACTTTGAGTCTGAAATTTTGAAAACTAATGGCAATCTTAATTGTTCTTCTAACACTATTAAATAACCATTTTAGGAATCAATCCCTTCAGACTGACATACATGGGCAGATAATTTATGTTCTGGAAATAACGACGTGTTCTAGGTAGAGTAAAAGGCATTCTCTTCAGCTTACTTTCTAACTGTAAGTTTGTTTCATCAAGCAGAAATCTGGAAGGAACTAGTAAGTGTTTTTTTAATAATTGATAGTAAACTCTACTGATATAAGGACTGGAGCATGAGAGCAACTTATGCAACAATTTGTTCTTCTGAGCTCTCATGTTGTAAAAACAGTTGTTGACAATCAACATGACTGAAATTGCAAATACTTTGTGTGGTTTTTCTATATGGATATGCAATAAGCTAAATAAAATTTTGAGCCTCAATTGGTCCAATTTCTAACCACTTTATTCTAGTTCAGAGCCACCACATTACACAAACTCAGGAGGCATTATTCACATTTTATTCAGTTGTAAACCATTGTACATAATGTGGATGGTGCCCTCTTTGAGTTGTACAACATAGTTTGCCTGCTGTAGTTCATAAAAACTACAAAATGGAAATGTGTATCACTCAACCTTAAGTTACTAAAATCTTTCTCTCACTTTAAGAGGATTCAGATTTCAAAGGCCATAGTATTTTTTTGGAAAGAGAAATCCTGTCTTAGCTGTTTTGTTTTAGTTTCATTCCTTTTCCTTCCAAGCATTTCCTTCTTTGGGACAAAGGCTCTTCTCCAACTCTGAACGATTTTGGTGATGTTATCAATAACCAGGGACTACAGTGATGGGTACGGCATCCAGGCCTGAACAATCATGGCCCCATATTGCTTGGATGATAGTGATTGGTCCAAGGGTAAAGCATGTGATCCTAGCTGAGTTGATCAGAGTTCTTCCACGAGATTTGATATGTAGATATAGTGCTGTGAAGATGTAAGCCTGAGAATGTTGGCAGCCATTTTCCCCACTAGAGGGAAATCCTGCCATGTAAAATAAGATCAAGAAACTAAATCAAGTAGAGAAAAGAAGAGTAAAGGGATGAGAGGCGGAGGAAAATACTACTAAGGACATAAACTTGATTCCATCAATTTACCACCAACCTCCCAGTTATGGTGCAAATAACTTATAATTTTTTGTTTACTATAGACTGAAATGAGTTGCTATTGCTTGCATTCAAAGGAGCCTTGATTACCAGAGCCCATGATTGCAAGTGTTTCATTCCTCCCAGGAAACTGCTTAGAGTAGAGTTGATTTAAAGCCATAGAGTTCTACATTCTCTATTAGAAACAGAAAAGTTTTCTTTAAACACCGAATCTCTGGCATTATGAACTCACTTGACCCATGATATTAATGCAATATCTCTGGGCAATACTCAAGGTTATCAATAATATATAGCAAATGAAGTAAGTGAAATTAAAAAGAAATATCTTCTATATTATAAAACCTTTCTGAGCAGAGTTATTGAGAATAAGAGACACTTGTGTTAATACCACAAAGTGTTCACACTTTGCCACATTAAGCAAGTAGAATTCATTTCACTTTTTACCATAGTATAAGGTTCACACTTTCTCACATTAAGTGTATGACTAGAGAGGAAGTCAAAATGTGAGCATTAGTTCTAACACTAATTCAATCACTAAGGTATTTGGTGAACTTGGAAAATTATATAACCTCTCCGAGTCTCAGTTTCCTCACTGCAGAAATGAAGACATTTTTAAAAATTTGTGTATTTAGATTTTCTGTTTCTTGCATTTCACTGTTTCTTATATGTATTCTGATGCTCACACAAAGCTTGGCACAGAATAGATATTTAACAAATAATTGTTAGGAAAACTGGATGAATTAATTAACACATATTTACCTAATGCAATGTAATGAAAAATATATAAGATAAACAAAGTAAACATCAGAATACCTATCACAGTTGCTTATAAATATTAGGTTTTTTTTCTTCCCAACTTTCATCTTCCTGGTGTTGAGATACAGACCATTTAGTGTGCCTGATGTTTGGCCACCATTTCTCACACTGAACCTCTTTATTCAAAACCTTCCAGAATTCTCTATAAGACATCTTTGATGATTAATCCACTAGCTCCAAAGCCAGCTTCACCGTGTGTGCCATAGTACAGCTTTAGAATACCTTGCTCCATTTTGCATGTCCCTATGTCCCCTTTGCTTGTCCTCTCTCCTGATTAGATCTCATTTTCTAAAGTGTCTAATACTGGGTATGACACAATGTTTTTTCATTAAATGGGATACTAATGATTCTCTGACTGTAACAAAAATTTACCTGCTGGGAGCAAATTGGAGTTTTCCCTGTTACTTTATGTAAACTAACTTAAGGCATAGGCCCTTTTATTTTGAATTTGCTTTCTTCTGCCTATATAGGGCTGATTCTAAACCTCCTATTTCTCTTGAGGATAAACTATTTTTTTTAAAACTCAAATAATAAATGCTAATAATACCATACAACTTTACAATTTAAAATGGCTTTTCACATACATCTCTTCACAACATATTAGTTTAGCCTGGCTTTCGGAGTACAACTGAATTAGGCTGGAATCTTGACTGTATTACGTAATAGCTGTGTGTAATTTTAAGAGAGTTACTTAACCTCTCAGACTCTCAGTTTCCTCATTTGAAAATTTGAAAGAAAATAGCATCATGCTTGTAGGAGTCAAATGATATATGTTAATCATGTACCATGGTCATAATTTAATCAATGGGATCTGATAAAGGTAGTTATAATTATTATTTTTAGTTTATTATTATTATTTTATAAACAAGAAAATCAAGGCATAGAGTACAAAGGAAGCAATCAGAAGGCTTTGAATAAAGACTTTTGATTCTAAATGCTATATTCCAATCTACTTCTTTGCCTTCCCAGCAAAGCAACCTGCAAAGAGCTTCTTCATACTTTCTTTAATTTGATCTTTGTAACAACCCTAAGTGGTTTATGCAGAAAATTACCCTTTAGCTCTGTGGGAAAGTGAATTTTAATGGATGGGTTTTAATGGCTGTTCAAACTAATTGAAAAGTTTGGCCAGCATCACAACCCAAACAGGAGAAAGTAGAGCATAAATACAAAATAATGCATATGTAAACTGAGATGACCTGGCCTAGAGAAGATAAGGCTAATGGCCCTAACCCAGGACGAATGCATTGAAAAGTGACTCACAGAAACTGGAAAAACTCACTGTCACATAATACTCAAAGGTGGTTCCCTTGCTTTTTTGTTATTTTAGTTAATTGTCCAAAAAGGTACAAAGAGGCCCCAGAAAAAAGCAAAGAAAGATTTTTCTTACTCCCTCAACTCTCTTCATGCTTAGAAGGCTAGGTTGTTATTATTATTAGTTTAGAAACGATAATATTTAACACTATAGGTAGCATTCACTGAGTGCTTAATTTGTGCTAAACACTTTGAAAGTTATTTTAGCTCTAATTCAACAATCCTGCAGTGTAGGTATTATTAATTATTATTATTATTATTATTATTATTATTATTAAAGAGAAAGGTTAAAAGAGTTTTCTGGTTACAAAGTAAAGAGTAAGGGTCATATGTAGAAAGGAATCTTGCAAGAGAGAAGCTCTAGCTCATACTGCTGGAATTCTCTTCCCTTCCCTCCTTCCCCTTCCCCTTCCTTCACTTTCCTCTCTCTTCTTTTTCTCCCTGTCCTCCTTTCCCCCACCAAAATCTTCCCATCCAGAGGCATGCACCTACCTACCTACCTCGATCGATCGATCTATCTATCTATCTATCTATCTATCTATCTATCTATCTATCTATCATCTTGCACTGCTGTGGAATGAAACAAGTATATAATTACCGAGAGTTCTGCCTCAAAGTACAATAGTCAGCTTAACTGATGTTTTGTGTTCTTATCCAAACAGAACGTTCTCAGTTTCTCCAGGCATCCCAGGTAACCCCTCGTTGTACTTGAGGCATTCTCCTGAATAATGGCAACAAGTCTCACACCTCCTGTGATTCTGGGGAGTGATTCCCAGAGCCGTGAACCCACATTTCCTTCTGAACTGCTGCTCTTGCCTCCCTTCTCTGTCCTCTGCCGGTTTCTGACCAGCTCATATTTTCCATGACCTTTCGCTTTCTCTTTCATAGCCTAAGGCACCCTCATTACAATAGTCTATGTGCTTCAGATTTTACTAATGGGATAATGGAGGTGAATTATACCTCAGGATAAGAAACAACCAAAAATTGAGAGCAAACATCACTGGTCTTAGAATCCTTGCCCTTCTCTGCCATAGAAAATCGATTTTAGGCTGCCACTCTTCATAGCCCCAACAATCACTATGTTGGCTATGTGGTGGGGTCTGTCATTTCTATGTAGACTTTTGTCCCAATTATTTCCCTCAAAGTACCAGAGGCCAATATAAAAACCATTGTTACCTTAGAATGCAGAGGAATTGAGTCTCCTTTTTAATTCGGTATCTTCCATGTCTGCTAGCCTGGGCTCTCTCTTTCATCACCAATACACATATCGAAGCATCTTCATAAAAGAAAGATAAATTTTCCCCTGAATAGTTTCTGCTTTGACTTTCAGAGAATATAAGCTGCTATCAGTTTTCCTCTTTTGTTTTCAGTGCATCTTTGTTCCTGTCATATTTACATTATCTCTTAAGCTAAAGGATCAGAGATCTCATCCCACCATAAATCTAACACTGTATGAATAAAAAAAAAAGAAATTAACACGGTGTTTTTCCTGAAGGTAGGGAGTATGCCCCTTCTGACATATCTTCATGAGATATCATTAACATTCAGGCAGTTTCAAGGCACTCATGCTGTGGTTGTGAGGGAAAGGCACATTTGGGAAGCCGATGGAAGTTACCCTTCATCTGGAAATCTCCATCAATCTACTAGGCTCAGCCGTCATTCTTGAATAGGTGTGCATCATTTGTTTAACAAATATATACTAAGTGTATATGAAAATGTCACAGACACCATTAAGCACCATTAACCCAATGGTCAAGAAAGGATTAAAAGCCTTTGTGATAGATGAAATAACGTAGTTTTGTTCTAAGGACTATGGGAAAACGAAAGAGGAGAGCTACCGACTCTGGCTGAAGAGTTCAATGAAAAGTTCAGCTTGATATTGTCAGATTTCTTCCTCTTCTCTATCCCATTGTTTTGCAGTTGATTAAATTAAACTGTAGTTTGAAAGATGCATCAGCTAGACTTGAAATTCACATGTATTAGTGCTCTGCCTCATTTAGTTTTTGGAGAGAGGAAAGGTCCTCCCTGGAGTTGGGCAGTATGGTGGCCCCAGGATTCTACCCCAGGGATATTGCTTACATCATCTATTTTCCATAGAAAATTGGAGTTAGTGATCAAACGTTATTATGGAAGAGGCTGCATTAGCAAAGTGGAAAGACTCTAGTATTGACCCTTAGGAGGTCTACGTTTTTAATTCTCAAGTCATTCATTAACTGGATAACAAGAGTGAGCCTCATTTTCCTCAGCAGTAAAATAATAAATTAAGTGATTTGAAGATTTTGAAGGTCTATTTCTGATAGAAGATTGTGAATCATTTCAACTTTCAGAAATATTACATTGTAATGTCTACGTAAAGGAGGAGCTGGCCTCATTTATCTGTTAACTCATTTACTATTCATTCATTCCCAAAACACTATAATTAAGATTATGAATTTTATGGTCAAATGGACTTTGATTCTTAACTTGGTTTCTCTACTTACTAGATAAATGACTTTAGACAGTTAACTTATTGACTTATTTGTAGTCCTGTTTCCTCATTTATAATTGAAAAGAATATTACTTTCATCACAGGACCATTAGAAGGTATATGAGTCAGGGTTCTTCACAGAAACAGAACCAACAGAAAGTTTGTGTATATGTGTGAATGAATGGATGGATAAATATATAGATATGTAGATATATAGATATAGACATAGACATAAAAATAGATATAGAGATTTTAAGGAATTGGCTTACATGATTACGGAGGCTGGCAAGTCCAAAATCTACAAGCTAGGTTGGCAGAATGAAGACCCAGAGAAAAGTTGATGCTGCAGCTTGAGTTCAAAGGCAGAATTCTCCCTTTCTAAGTGGAGGTCAGTCTTCTTCTTAAGGCTTTCGATTGATTGGCTGAGACCCACCTACATTATGAAGGGTAATCTGTGTAACTCAAAGTCTACTGATTTAAATGTTAATCTTATTTTAAAAAGACTTTTAAAAAAGACTTTCACAGCAACATTTAGACATGTTTGACCAAATATCTGGATACCGTAGCCTAAGCAAATTAACCATCACAGAAAGAGTACTGATAATGCAGGGAACAAGTTTAGTGCAATGATTAACACAAACAACAAGTGATAAAAATTAGCTATTATTATTGTGGTTGTTGTTATTATTCTTTATTGAATACCTACTTTTTATTTTTTGCTGCATACTAGGTTAGGTTCTGACGACATAACATCTCACAAGATACAGTCTTGGTCCTCATGGAACTTACAGTCTAGACATGGACCTTATTAAGCTACCTGACCATATAATACAGTGTCCTGAATACTATGAGTGCAAGAGTACTATGAAAAATATGGATACTATGAGGATACATAAAAGGGGCCTCAAATCAGAATGGGTTGAGGAGCAAAGATAACTTAGCTAATATCTAATGAGTGAATAGATGGTGGTCAAACAAATGGACATGGGAGAAGGAGGAAGCAGATGTATGTTAAGTAAATAAGTACATGGAACTAAAAATGAGAAAGAACATGCAAGTAGTTTGTCATTTTTAGGGTCATAGGATGGAAGAAGAAAGTGATGAAAAGGTAGACAGATTGACAGGGTTAAGCCTGTAGAGGGCTCTTACCAAGCTAAGAATTTTGGACTATCCCCAAAGCAATAATGACCTAAATTATGGTAGTGATGTTGGAAATGGAGAGAAGAGACAAATTTGGGAGATCTGAGTAAGTGTAATGGATAAGGCCTAATGATTAATTGTATGTTTGAGGTGGGGAGACGGAAGAAAGCTAGGACTTAGGAGTGAGCTGGACTATGTTTAGAGACTTCTATAACTCTTTTGGACCCAATAAAAGGGTATTTTGAAGATTGCTGGAGGACTTTGCTTTAATTATTCACACTTTTTGTTCTTCATTTTCCTCACATGTAAAATGAAGATGTTGGACTCAATGCTCTTTGAAAGACATTATCTAGCTCTAAAATTCTACAACCCAGTGGCTACTTTTTAGCTTTGTACACAAATACATTATTTTTGGAAATGCTTTTTGTACTCCCAATAAACTAAAAGCAATAAATAGCATCATCATGCTGGTATTTAATTATGATTTTACAATTATTACAGGATGTCACAATAACAAAGATCAGGAAATTAGATAATACATGCTAGTATCTTTTATAATGTTTTGTTTAAAATGTCAAATAAAGGTGGTTGATGCTGCAGATCTAAAAAGATTAAATGAATTGTTCTAACTAGAATCGAAGTTGATAAGCAAATTTCTATGAATAGTGAAATGTACCCAAAAGCTGATTGGTGAAAAAAATGCATAGGAGAGAGAAACAAACAAGCTCTTTTCTTTTTTCTTTTTCTATTGTGTTTGAAAGAAAAAATTATTGATTGCTCTGGTTTCAAGTACTTGGTTTATCTTTTATGACACTTGAAATGCAGTGTTTGCTCTACAGCTTAAAGTTTATTTGGTGTGCTAATAAAGGCCCTGCAGAAACTGAGGGAGAGAATAAAATCAAACTGAAAACTAGTCCAAATGGTCCTTGTGTCCCTCCTCAAACTGAACTTGAACCATTATTTAGAAGTCTTTTTGAACAAGAACTGAATGGCAAAAAGATTTTCAGAGATAATCTGATATAAGCCATTCGGAATCTGGATGGGTTACTGAAGTCCTTTTGACCTGAAAAACTTACAGAGCTAAACATACGGCTGTGATTCAACTCTCTGATCTAGTAGAGTGCTGAGAGCAAATATCTTGCATCACAAATACCTTATTTGGAGATAGTTATCATTATTTAGTTTGGCCCACACAAAACCATTAGAAGACATTTTATCAAAAACTCAGAATGCATATTAATTTAGGTGAAACTCAAGTTTGGGGGTGGGGGAGTATCTATAACTTGCTAGACAACATCTTAAAAATAATCAGCAAATTCAGTTTCAAGTAGTGTTTTCTCATCTTATTTGCACTACAGACCATATTAGTAACTTTAATTTTCTTGGAGGAAGGAGGGGAGTTCATGTTCAGGCCTCATTTTGACAAAGTCTGTCATGTAATGTTACCAAGTTCTATTCTAAGGGCTATGAGATTTACCTAAGGGCTCATCTTCCTCCCTGATTTAACTCTAAACCTGAGAATTACCACTTCCTGAAAGACATTCTCAAATAACACTTTCTGTTGTACAGCTACAACTCTAACTCTTTCAGTGTTTGAAATACAGATCAAATTTTTTTAACAAATGCTAAATGTAAGTTTACATAAATATTTTAATGATTTTAGACATCTTATTCCAAGGCAATAAATGAATTCAGCTACCTCTAAGATAAATGAACTATGACAGACTTAATCTGAATAATAATATTTTATATAATTTTGCTGATGTCATGCTCAATCTATTTTGTCTCTATTTTATTATAATTCTCTAAAGACAAGGACAGTATTTATTTTTCAAAGTGTGTTTCAAGTATTCACTGGAATTTTCAGTTCTTGTTGGTACCCAGATCAAAGGAAGTTGGCCAAGGTGGGGCATCAGTCCAGGTGCATTCATTCCAGCATATGGAGTCCAGGATCGGGGAACAAACTAGAACTGAAGATGCTTCCTGAGTTGGCAAGGAAAGGAGAGAACCAGAAGTATGAGCCCAAGTCATCGGAGAATGTAGATGGGCAAGTCAAGAAAATCGAGGTAAGTGAGCAAGTGCAAAGGGTAGGAACAAGACAAAAAAGAGAGATGAGTCAAGGGTCAAAAACTCTGCTGAAACAAAACCAAGTGGGAAAAAGGGCAGGACCCAAACTACCAGTATTCTGTTGTGCCCACAGTCCTCTGGGCAAGTTTCCATGTCTCTGTCCTTATGTTCTCTTAGGTAGGGCAGATTCAACACCTCTTGAGCCATGGGACATTTTTTCTGGCCTAGAAGTTGTCCTTAGTTGCTTGTTGGCCCAACTCTGATGCCTATGATAACATCTTTCAAGCAGAGGAAGGAGGTTGGGAACCATCCATCATTAAGAGTTCAGAGAAAGGTAGAAAGCACATGAAGCTTTCCCAAAGAAGTCCGAGAATGTTTTTGTCTTACTTCTATTTATTTATAAACCCTTACCTCCTCTCATCAGAACCCTGCTCTTTAGTACAGTGGCTTAAATTTATCTTCAGAGTCCATTTTGTCCTTGACCTAGATCCAAGGTCTCCTCCTTAGGGAAGATAGTGAGGTGGTGAGGGAAGATATAAAGCTTTGAATATTCCCTAGGGGGTTGCATGTGAAGCTAAGATTCCCGTCCACTCTGATCTTTTCTGTATTAAGCCAGCTACACTATAGACCAGCGAGAGTTCACATGGTTGCTATGCTCCCTTCACAAATAAATATCATTAGAATGTTAGAGAAAAACAGCTTTTCTAATTTGTGCCATCAGTCCTCTTGTTTATCTGGGACCAATGACATGGACAATTCAGGCCCTCAAAACCAAAAGTGAATGATGTCCTAATGTAGTTGCAGAATCCTTAGTCTAAAATGTGATAGAACCTCACTTTAAGCCACACATACGCTAGACAAAGGAAGCCCTCTTAGTCGTTTCTCCATCTACTTAATGTTACCAAAATGAAACACAAAACAAAATAAAACATTTATCTGCTTAGATTTTATATCAAAATCCAGATAATAATGTATTATATTAATAAAATATCACATTACAGTATTAAGATAGCTCAGTAAAACATACACTCACATACCTTATTATTATCAATTCAATCTCTTTGCATCATAGAGAAATTAAAATCCTATAAAAAACAGAGGGGTTCCATTTAGATGCCAAATTCTTTTCTTTTAGCAGCTGTAACCACAGTTACTTCCCTTAGAATCAGGTAGCCAGCTCTTCTGAATGTCCAGAGTTAGAGAATTCCAATTTAAAGTCTCTCATGTGTATCGCTTTTCCAAAATTCCTTAGTGTCAACTGATCACTTAAAGTATCACTGCAACAAACCCATGCATACAATTTAGACAAGATTCACAATCCTTAGTATCAATTTTCTTAGACCGAAATGTTTCAAAACATGATCTAAATAAATTAAGGAGTTGCTCAGCAAGAATAGGCACAGTGGGCACAAGTAGAGGGGTATCCCCCAAAACTAAAGCAGCTCCATTTTAAAAGGTTTTATATATATATATATATATATATATATATATATATATATATATATATATATATATATATATATATATATATATATATATATATATATATATATATATATATATATATATATATATATATATATATATATATATATATATATATATAGGCTCCTCAGAATATTTCATTTGAAAAATAGGTATTGATCTTTCTGCAAAATTTTGAAAACTATTGCCTTATAAAATAGTGTTTTCCAAGCCAAAGTAGTGTTCCCAGACACCAATAAATAACTCCTAATCTAGCATCACATTGCTGTTATAGCTGCTGATTTTGGTTGGATTGGAGGGGAGGGAGGCTTGGAAGGAACAAGCAGAGAAAAGTGAGCAGAATAAAGAGAAAAGCATCATTGTTTCTATTCACCAAATATAACCAGTCAATCTATTCCAGTTGTCCAGTGACCATCACCTATGAATTTAAAACTCAAGAGACTTCCCAGCAATTTCACTCCTAGGTATTTATTTGAGAGAAAAGACTAAGTCCAACAGAAACCTTGTCTGGGACTGTTCATAGCACATTTATTCATCACAGCCTCAAAATGGAATCAACCCAGATGTCCATCAGCAGGACAAATGGTATATGCATGCAATGGAATTACTCAGCAATAAAAATGAATAAACTACTGATATATGCAACAACATTAATACATCTCAGAGTTATTGTGCTGAGCAAATGAAGCCAGACCAGATACAGAAGAGTACACACTGTATGATTC